GCAGCCGGGCTGGGCGGCAGCAGCGCGTCGGTAAGGCCCTGAGAACCAGCCTAAACGCCCACGAGAGAGAGCATCGGCAGGGTTGAACTCGCTACACGTCCAGCGTATGTGAATAGTACAGTTTGAACACAGCGCCAAGCAACACAGTTTACGAAGAGTACGACGAAGATGAATGGATGCGGCCCTCCCTTTACAACAACCCAGGGCCAACGGCATGTTGTCGACGAACAGTAGAATATGCTTCCCGAAAGCGGCCCTGGACCTCATGATGTGCTTGATGCCCAAGACACACGCGTCCCCCTCCAGAGCCAGAATGTTGTCGGGCACGACGACCCTTGAGGCGATAACAGGAGCCCAGCGAGCCCCGTCGAAGAACTCCTTGGGCACCTCCATGAACTCCCTCGGGTGCACCCGGATGAAGGATTCCAGCCCCAAGACGTCCAGGCCTTGCAGTCCGGCAGGCAGCGAAGCTGTGTCGTATGCGGAGGATGGTAGAGGCTGAGGGCGGAGGGCTCTCTCGCGGGCCTTCTCGGCACCGTGCACTCGGTAACGCCACCTCTCGCACTGGCGGCCGTGCTGCGCCGCAGCGTCAGGCCGCACCGGCCGCGCGGCGACGCCGACTCCGAACTCGGAGGCGTCGCTCACTCCGACCACGTCGTGCCACGGGCTGCTCAGGTCCTTCTGTAGGAGCGGGGGCAGCGAGCGGACGAGCCACAGCTCCTGGCGCACGGAGGGCCACAGCCGCGAGGTCGTCGGCAGGCCGGCCGCTATGTACGAGTACACGGAGCACAACACGCACAGCAGCTCACGGCGGATCAAGCAGGCCCACGTGATGTGGCCCACCAGCACCTCAAGCATCTTGCTGGAGCAGCAGCCCCGGCGCAGCACGGTATCCAGCGCCGCACGGAGCCGCCACAGGTTGCGGCGCTTGATGGACAGCCAGCGGCCCTGCCGGAGCTCCAGGCCCACCAGCACGGCGTCGGGGGAGGCATCCGTCTCCTCATGGACGGTCAAGCCCCAACCGCGCAAGACGGCCGACACGTCGTCCCGGCGCTGAGTGACCAGCGAGGCGTCGTGGCCGAAGACGTAGAAGTTGTCCACGTAGCCCGCCGCCGCCGTGTCTGAGCGGGCGGGCAGGACCACGCTGGAACGACCGTCCTCCACAATCTGCGAGTCCGCGAAGCCCGCCAGAGAAATGGCGCGCATGGTCACAGCCTGGCAGAAGTGCATCGCCCACGACCACCCCATGGGCAGGATGGTAAGGCAGGGAGCCAAGCTGGTCCCTGCCGGAATGCTGACCCCCTCCAGCTCCGTGATGCCCGCTAGGGTCGAGGAAAGCGGGGGCAGCGTGAAGTAGTCCTCTAAGCCGGACATGGGCCTGAGACGGTAGAAGGCATTGTCGAGGTCGCCGGCCGCCACGCACAGGGGCAAACCGCCCGACTCCACCGAAGACACCGCGGCCGCCGTAGGCAGCCGCGTCGCCGGCGCCGGGTGGAAGTAGGCGTTGGCGTACCTCGCGTCGAACACTATGCGAAGCTTGCCAGACTTCTTCCTCACAAGAAATACACCAATCATGTGCTTGGTAGTGGGCGCCACCTTGAAGCGCAGCATACCACATTGATGAAGCCGCCGAACAAAATCACCATACAAAACTGGATCCCGCGCCAACCGAGGGTCAACGAAAGGTCCGCGAGGGCAAGCTTGTCGGGCCCCGAGCAGCGCCTCGTCGGGCGTCTTGAGCAAATTATGTCGCCAATCCCGTGCCCAATCAGCATCATCCTGAGCGAGGCAGCCCACAAGGTCGACGGGGCTGGAACCCACCTCAGGCCAGGAGACCAGCTCCTTCGAGTACGGGACCCGTGCGCCACCATCCTCGGAGTAGACGGTGGAGCCACTGAGAAGCTCGCGGAGGGCTTCTTCGCAAAAACCTGGCTCGCTCGGCATCGCGCCCATCCCCAGGTAGCAGTCCTCCAGAAAGTCCAGGCTAGTCTGCTGTCCCAGGTTCGCGGGCGCCGACGGAGGTGCACCAGCATGGCCATACAGGCAGTTGAGCGCGTCGATGCCCTGGTCGGCCCAGTGGAGCAGCACGCCGGAGCGGCGGAGCCGCTGGCGCACGGCCCTGCAGGGGCGGCGGCCGGGCACGCGCTCGGACCGTCGAGCCACGTGAGGAAGAGGAAAAAGATCCCGATGGCGTCGGTCATCGGTGGCGGCACTGGGGCCGCGAAAAAGGGCCTGGTGCTCGAGCTTCGGGGCGGCGGGGAGCCCCAGGTCCCGCCGCCCGCTCCACGTCACCCCTTTCCTTCCTCCTTGTCCCTGTCCTTGCCGCCCTTCTTGTCCTTGTTGTTGGGCGCCCTGGCAGTCTGGCGCTCCTCCCGAGCCTTGCGCCTCTCCTTGGCCACGGCGTACTCCTTGGAAAGCTCACCGCTGACGTAAGCCAGCAGCTGGGGGTGAACACACACGTTGCCCCGGTTGGCCGAGGTGCCGTAAAAGAGGTGGGAGTCGAGAGACTCGTCGGCATTGGTGATGAACCGATCCCGCCACCTCTCCTCCTGCACCTGGATGCTCCTGCACACCATCTCCGCCGCCGCCACGTCCGGCACATTGAGCAAATCGTAGCACACCATCTGTTCCAAGTAGAAGCAGCAGCGCTCGTGCTCGGCCACCCCCGCGTCCGTCAGCGCCAGGCGGCCCTCCGACCGCCACTTGCTGTGTCGGCCCAGCGGCGACATGCCGTTGTCCTTCATGAACAGGCACACCCACAGCGTCGTCCTCGGCCCCGAGATGGGCCAGTCCGGCCAGTCATGCTCCACGAGGCGCAGCACAGCCTCCGAGAAGCCCAGCTTCCTCTGGCCGAGGGCGTTGTACGCCACAGGCAGCACACGGGCGTCCGACTGCGCGCCAGGCGGAGCAGCGTGGGCAGCAGCGCCTGGAAGCGCCGGCGCGGGCGCCGGCGCGGGCGCCGGCGCGGGCGCCGGGGCCGGGGCCGCCGCACCGCCAGGCCCGAGGGGCACAAGTGCTCCGGGCGCCCCCGCGGGGCCCCCCAGCGCGACCACCAGCCCGGCGACGCCCGCAGCGGGGGCGGCGGCCGGGGCTGCAGCGGCAGGCAGCAGCGCACCCACGGCCGCCGCCGCCGGCGCCGCCAGCGGCCGCCCACCTGCGTTGGCCACGATGGGCCCAGGCGGGGCGGCAAGGCCGAGACGGCCGGCGGCTGCGGCCGCGGCGGTGAGCAGCGTGGCCGGCGTCGGCAGGCTGCGGAACCTGTAGTAGCGGGCGCCAGGCGCCCACGCCATCGTGCCTCCCGCCGCGCCGCCAGGGAAAATGTCCCACCGCAGCACGTCCGGCGAGCCCACGTACATCTCCTCGTACTCGTCCGCGTCGGGCGTGATGATGCAAGCCGCGCCAGGAAGCCCTGGCGGCACGAGCACCACCACGCGTTCGTGGATCAAGGCCCCGCCCGCCACGTGGTACTGCACCCCGATGAAGTCGCCGGGCTGAACACCTGCTGCGGCCACTGACGGGTGCACCGGCGGCGCCGGCGCTGCCATCACTGCTGCAATGCCTTGGCGCGCGCCACCCGCGCCTGAGCACGGGCCTCCTCCTCGAAGTCCGGCTCCCTGCCACCACCGACCTGTGGGCGACGGGCCGGCACGAAGCGACCGCCCGCGCGCCAGAAGGCCAGCGCGGCGGTGGAGGCCCCGACCAGCCCGCTGGCGGCGCAGGCCAGCGCCACGGCCCACAGGCTGGGCCCGTGGCTGCTCGAGCCCTGGAGGCCTGAGCAGTCGCACCGCAGCTCCGGGCAGTGGAACTGCGGCGCGCACGAGCACGCGGGGCACTGCGCGTGCCCCTGGTTGGCCGCGTACAGCGCCACGCCGGTGCTCAGCCCGCGGCCCAGCTCTGGCAGCAGCAAATCGGCCGCCGCGCGAGCGGCTGAGAGCATACGGGCGGAGTTCGCTCGAGGCTAGAGCGAGATGGCAACGGATGACCATCAAGTGCGGCAACTTCGCCGTGGTACGCAGCATACACTTGTTAAAAGGATCATATGTGTGTATGTATGTATGTACGTATGTATGTATGCATGTATGTATGTATGTATGTATGTATGTGTGTGTATGTATGTATGTATGTATGTATGTATGTATGTATGTTTGTTTGTTTGTATGTATGTATGTATGTGTGTATGTGTGTATGTATGTGTGTATGTATGTATGTATGTATGTATGTATGTATGTATGTATGTATGTATGTATGTATGTATGTATGAGTATGAAAGAATGCATGCATGCATGCATGCATGCATGCATGCATGCATGTATGTATGTATGTATGTATGTATGTATGTATGTATGTATGTATGTATGTATGTATGTATATATGTAGGTATGTATGTATGTATGTATGCATGTATGTATGTATGTATGTATGTGTTACTATATATATACGTGTAAACTCGTGATGTCGTCTCGAACTGGCCCGAACAAAGCTCACTGACGTTCTGTGAGTATGGACGTTACTGGATGCTTGCAAGCCATGTCTGTTGCTGTGCAGGGTGGCGGTAAGGCATCCTCGTCCCCGCCTCACTGTCAACCTCCTTGATCCACTTCTCTTGATAGTGCGGATCTGCCCAACAGCTGTGGGCGTCAACACATTTCCTGCCTCGGCATGTCGGGACCGTGATCGTGCCTGCGTAGACACGGCAAGTCACCCATACCACCTTCCGCTGTGCTCCTGTCCCTGCTCTTGCTGCTGCTTCTGCTCCTCCTCCTCCTCCTCCCTCCCGTCCGCTCCCTCTTGACCTCCAGCTCTTCCAACGCTTCCCTCCTCCCCCCTCCTGCTCGTCGCTACTGAACCCTCCTCCCCCTCCCCCTGATCCTCCTCCTCCTCCTCCTCTTTCTCCTTATCCTCCACCCTCCCGCCTACGACCTCCTGGCAGAAGGGACACACCCCTCAAGCGAGAGATCTGCCAGTGCTGCTCTACAACCGGACGTGACGCGACGAAGATCCTCGCGGGTCAGCCCGCTCTCCTCCAGGGCCGCGAAGGTGGCCGACCACGACTTCCACTTCTCGTACATCTTTCCCAGCTGCTGGTCCGTCTTGCCGCGCCGGTGCGCGTTTTTAATTCGCCGCGCCCGCGCCTCTGCGCCGACGTCATCGGAGGAGACCGATGACGTGCCCAGCGGCTCCAGAACCTTCCCAAACCTCCAGGTCGTTGCTCCCACACCACATACAGGTTGGGGCGGAGCGAGAAGGCGCTAGGCATGCCCCCAATCAGGGTGCATGAGGTCAATGAGGGATCTCTGAAAAATGCCATTGGGGCAAGTGTGCTGGGGTGACACTGATCAGCGCCACAGGCAGAGAAGGAGGAGGAGGAGGAGGAGGCAAGATGTGGACATGGCACAGACACAGGCACGCGTCCCATTCATCCTTGGAGCATATCGGCGCCACGGGGGTGGAGTGAAGGTGGACGAGGATGAGAAAGAGCATATAATTCACAATGAGGAGAAGGCACTGGGAGAGCGGGAGGGAACATCAAACATTCGGACACACATCTGCAGAACAGACAAAGAAACATACATAATGGATGGATGTCCAAACTCAATCCTGGAGGCCTCTGAGCCCCTACCGATCTCTATCATTTGTATCACTGGCAATCTATATATCGGCCTCACTGTCTAAAACCGATATCACTACCGATCTCTCGATAGACAAGACAGACACGAGACCACCACGGGACACCCCAGAACAACCACGGAACAACCACGGGACAACTACGGGACAACCACTTGACAACCTCGCGACGACCACGGACGCCCGTGGAGCAACCACAGGACAACCACGGGCACGGAGACACATCCTCGCCAGCTCGCACTGCGAGGCGAGAAGAGCAAGAGACAGCAAGAGGTGGGTACGAAGGCACCTTGTTCCAGCTCTTGACCTCGTCCCTGTCCACGCCTTTGACCTGCGGACGCGGGTGGGGGGGGCATTATCCGTGGGAGCCGCTCGCTCCTTGCTTTTCCTCCATAGGTGTTCAAGCCGGAAGGCACCCCCAAACCTCAAGCATCTACCGTTCTAGCAGGGCGCCAAGGAAGGACGCCGGCCCACGCAGTACGTAGTAGCTCGACCACAAGAACCTTTCACAAGAAACCCAACCCTAAGACGCCAGGACGTCCATTGACGTCTGGTGTGGGAGCGTCACGCTTTCCATAGCAAAACCATCGAGACCCAAGAAACCCAGGGCACCCTGGAGGAAAGCAGGGTGTTTCTGGGCACGGGTTTCCACTGTACGGACTGCCAACGAACATGCCGAGAACATCACAGGAGTGTAGCACCGGGTGCGGCGAGCGAGCCGCGTCCTGCTCCTCCTCTGATGTACCCCCCCCTCTCCTCAGACCGCGAGCGAGCAGAGGGCCAGCGAACCTGAGGCACTCGCAGACACGCGCGCCAAGATCGCAACAGGACTGATCATGCGCCGCGGCTCTGTCCGTTTCGGTAGCACCTGCTGTACCGTGCAAGCGGGAAGAAGGGCTGCGGCAAGCAGGTCCTGTTCCCCAGGGTCAGCTCTTCGTCACAAGCCCGGGAGGGTACCCAGAATGCAGAAAATTGGGGAAATCCTCACGACATCGTTGCCCTGAGGTCCCCTTTTGTCGTCTCACACGTTCGCCGACAGCGAGGAAAAACAGAGATGCGAAGGGTGGGCAGAGTGGTTGCCTCTGTTGAACAGAAAACATGCTGACCCCTGGACAGAGGCAGCGCGCCAACGAAAATATGCGTCGCAGCTCTGAAATTACCCCACACTTTTTTTCGCCAGCGGCCGAACAAATATCAGACGGCGGTCGAGTAGCGGCGGGGCGCGCCGGAGTACAGCGAGGCAAACCCTTAACATCTGCCCAGTACGGATTACAACGCGAGTTGGGCTTTACTTTGAATTCGAAGTTGCACTGTTCCCATCACAACTCATTATTAACCTTCACTAGGTTTTATATGTATATATATATATATATATATATATAAAGATCGAACCCGCTATTTCCATATCAATGTATTTTCAACGTTCGCCCAACATTAAAATAGAACTACATGTTTTATCCGCCACCCTGCCGCAAGGCGCTAAGTGGAGTTTTCCCCAGGCTCTCATGTGTCCTCTATTCTCTGTACCCATGACTCTGGGATTGTACTATTCTGCGGTCTGGGGCCCAAAATTCTCAAAATTCCTGGTCGTTCCCGCGCGTTCCTGGGCTGCCCCGCGTAACGCTTCCAGACGCCAGGGGGCCCCAAGACGGGCCAGGAGGGCCCCAGAAAGTGCCCAAGAGGGTCCAAGAGGCATCCGAGACAGCCCAACAGCGCTCCAAGTTGTCCAAGATGGCCCCAAGACGGCCCATGAGGCCTCCAAAAAACCCCAAGAGCGCTCCAAGAGAACCCCAAAGAGGGCCCAAAAAGGCAACGATCCGTCATTTTCCTTGTGTGTTGTCGATGTGTTTCGCGTTCTCTCGATTTCGGGCTTCCGACGATCCAAGATTGCCCCAGAAACCCCCAAGACCGCCCCCTCCTCCTCCTCCTCCTCCTCCTCCTCCTCTTCCTCCTTCTCCTCCTCCTCCTCGCCCTCCTCGTCTCCCCCCCCTCCCGTTCCTGTACTATTCCTTCAGAGTCCACATGAACTCGCCGTGGAATTTTGGTGTCTGCGCGCGCGCGTTTCGGGGGCCTACCTGAAAAAGGGTCATCGCACCGGCCTTGCAGTCGTGCTGCAGCGGATTTCTACTTGGATGTTTGCCCGAGGCGGCGAGCGAAAAACAAAGTGGACTTCGCGTGCATTTTTTGTGTGGTCTTAATTCCTTGCCCCGAAAAAATCAGCACGAAATCCACCTCGAAATCCGGAGCGACATTCTCCAGGACACCCCGGGCCCACCCTATCGTTTTCCGAACGAAGTCCGCTCTGCAATGTTGGCGCCATGAGAATGGGGGGGCAGAGACTCCGACCCTCGGCGCCTCCTGGCCGCGCCGCGCGAGGAGACGCGCCAGGGCCGCCGGCGACACGAGCGCGACTGCGCGACCGGCCGCGCCCGGGACACGCAGGACTGCGAGCGCGGAGGCACTTGAGCCAGGCGGCCGCTCGGGGACAGCGCGCCGCGCGACGGTGGGGAGATCGTGCCCCCCCCCTCTGCGAGGAAGCGCGGGGATGACCTCATCTTGCCCAGCCTCTACCGAAGAAAACGCGCCCCCCCCCCCCCCCCCCGCAAGCATGGGCAAATTATCGGGGTTGCGCGCAACAGGAATGAAGATTGACTCGGGGGGGTGGCAAATAGAGAGCAGGAGAGAAACTGGCGGACAAACTAAGGGAGAGATGAGAACGACAAGGAAATGGATGCAGCGACGCGCGAATGCTAAACAACCGCGCAAATAATCAACGCCCACGATACATGCAATCGAAAGCAATGTCGCGCCCGCAGCTTCTGAGGTGCAGATTTCCTGGGAACGTGAAAACGTGATCACGTGCATTTGGTTTGTACCAAGGCTTCTCCAGAATGGATCTGCCGAGCGCGATGGCGACAGGCTTCCTACGGCTGCTAGCCCATTACAATCTGAATAGCACGCCTGAGTTCTCACTGCGCGGGCGAGTTCCCGCCTCGCTGCGCGCCTGGCGCAGCGCCCCACGGAAGTATCCTGCTCGCCTAATGGCCTCTCTGCCACCCCTCTTCTATTCGGCAAACTCGCTAAACACTGTATGGTTCTTCTTCCTCTCGGCGCAAGCGGCCCTCGCTGTGAGCTTCGCCCGCAGGGCCCAGCATCTTTTGCTCGAGCGCTACATTTCCTCGTCGCTGCAATGTTTTACTCGCGCGCGTGCTCGTGCCAACCCGGGCTGTTTTCCGCGTGCGCCTGCAGCATTGGCCCCCCTCCTTTTCTTATCCATCCGATATCGCACAGCCGTTGCACATATGGACATTCGCAACATGGGTGGCATTCGCACTGGAATCGCGCCCGCTCGTCGGCGCGGCCTTGGGGCGTCAACATCTCGCGCCGTGCGCGCCAGATTTTGCCGCGCTCGCGCCTCCGCAGCTTCGGCATTTCACCTCGGCGCACCCTCGCCGCTCCCCCCCCCCTTGCGAATCCTTATACACCCTTCGGTTGTGCCCTCTCCCTGCCCAGCCTGGTATGGCGATGCGTCGGCTGGCGAGGCTGCTGCGGGCCTCCTCGAGGTAATGTTTTTTTCGCCTGCTTCTTCGTCTTCTTCGTGCTCGTCGCCTCCTTCATGGCGTTTTCCTTGGGCGTCGCCCTGGCCTTGCCCCCGCCCCCCCCCGCCCCGCGGCCTTCGACGCCGCGTGCTTCTGCGCGCGCCTGCGTGGGTCGACAGGGGGCATCGACGAGGCTCCAGGGAGCGTCGAAGACTTGGTTCTCCTTGGGAACGCCCTGGGCGTTTTCGTTGACATTGCAATGTGGGCTCTTGACAAGCCGAGAGCGCTGGAACAGAGCGACTTTTTTGAGCGTTTCTAGCTCCGTTTCTGCAACGCCGTTAGCCCCGTCGCCGTGGGCCATCATGTCTAATTATTTTTCATGCTCTCTGGTCGAAGCCAGATCCTTGTCTCCCCCGCTGCGCTCACCCAGCGTTTCGTTTCTGCCGCCGTTCTCCCGCGCAGAAAAAAATCAACTGGGCTCTGAGACCGGTCTAACGCTGGCCTGAAGCAGGCCCGGAAGCCCGATGGCCCCGAGAGGGGCCATCGACCATCGGGCCTGGATGCCCGACGCCCTGCATGGGGAGAGCTTCAAAGACGGCGAGCAGCCGGACTGGGAGAGCCGGAGGGCTGAGGGCTGCCCACTGAGAACGTCGTAGATGGCAATGTTAAGGAATGCAACCACATTGTTTGTTTTCCGCTTGTAGTTTTCTTCTTGGAGCTTCAAGACAGGGCAGCAATGTTACCAGCGCGCCGAGGTAAACGCGGTAGCAAAAACCAAAACGCGCCCTGGGCACATTTAGAAAGAACGAACGTCGACAAACACCTGAATTTGGTAGACTCACGCTGCCCCCTAGCCTCGCCGAGACTCCTCTGCTGCGCCCTCTGGGCAATATGACGCACGCGACCCCCATTTCACTCGCCGCTGCCTTCTGTCTGAGCGCGTCCTGAACGTTGAAGTCCAACTGCACGCTGCGACATTTCTTCGCCGTCGCCCTCTAGAACCAAGCGCGCTTCCTTATCCTCTGCCGAAAAGAAGGTTTTACTCGACGTGCGCAACTGCGCGGTTACTTCGGATGTAGGGAACGGAGAACATTGCTGCGCCGTCCCAGTCTGGATCGCCAAGCCCCTTCTGAAGTGTGCGTCGCCGTGCTGGGAGTAATGCCAATTCACCGATGAGGTCCGCGTTTGTACTACGCCGTTACAACGCATCGGCGCAGCTTTCCCCATTGCGTATTTTTCAAACGGAGTGAACACCGAAGTCACCTGCGCAAAGGTGGCGCGCCGCTGTTTCGCCCTCGGGAATGTGAGGTTCAGGCAGTGCTCCACCATGGGGGCGCGAAACCAGGCGCGTCAGCCTCGGGCGCGGTCTTCCCCGTCGCCGTCTGGCGGATCTCGCTGCGATTTCTGTTCCAAAGAGAATGCTGGTTTGACGGGTTTCCTGGTTCGCCGCTCCTTTTTGCCATTCCCCATGCCCCCCCTAAAAGTACGGGGGCGCCCGGCGCGCCGTCGCTGGTTGTTGGGCCCGCACTCCGTCAGCAACGTCTCAACGCAACGCGCGGGGCCACCGACTGCAACGTCGGGGCGCGGCGCGCGGCAGCGCCCGTTCGCCCTCGACGCCGACGCGATCGCATTTGAAACCTGGCCCCGATCGCGCAAACACCTCGCAGTCCGCAGGGGCCTATCCACCTCGCAAGTGCTGGGGGGCGGGCTTCCAGCCGCTGCCTATACGCGCGCTCCGCGCGCTCGACCGGTGGAGAAAGACTCCCGACCGACGGGGCCAGAGCACACTTGCTGATTTTAAGTTCATCAAGGTTCGCGACGCGCCTGCGCGCATGGAAAACGGCGCACAGCCTTCTCAGAGCAATGAGCTGGAGCAAAACACTACCTTTGTCACCTTCACGGGCCCTCGCCAGACCGAGACCAGGGGGCCCCACGAGCGCCTGAAAGTGGCGCGCGAAGGGGTGCGAGGCGAGCGCGAGCAACGCACCTGAAGCGGGACAGCCCTGAATAAGGCCCGACCCGACGGCGACCAGGACCTGGGGGTCCCCAGCGATGCCCCCCATGCACCAGACATCTTGATCCGCTGGCCCCCTTGTGGGGCCGCCAGGCTGCGAGGCGCGTGATTCGCAGTTTCCTGTGCCAGTTGTAGTTTGTAGTTTCCAGTGTTGCAGTTCTGCTTCTTGCTGGATGTTGTAACTAGTTGACTTCTTGCTGGTTATTGTAACTAGTTGATTGACCGCGCGAGGGGGGGAGGCCCAAACGGGACTTTTAGCACCTCCTGGGCGCGTTGTCTGAATTGCTGGGGGGGCTGGAAATCGGCACCCCTCACGCAGATCCGCGGGGTCAGGGTCCAAAAACACATGGGATTTGCCACATTTCTGAAATTCGGTGCCACCCCTCGCGCAGGTCCGCGGGGTCAGGGTCCAAAAACATAAGGGATTTGCCACATTTCTGAAATCCGGTGCCACCCCTCATGCAGATCCGCGGCGTCAGGGTCCAAAAACACATGGGATTTGCCAGATTTCTGAAATTCGGTGCCACCCCTCGCGCAGATCCGCGGGGTCAGAGTCCAAAAACACAAGGGATTTGCAACATTCCTGAAATTCGGTGCCACCCGTCACGCAGATCCGCGGCGTCAGGGTCCAAAAACACGGGGATTTGCCACCTTTCTGACCTTCGGCGCCACCCCTTACGCAGATCCGCGGGGTCAGGGTCCAAAAACACAAGGGATTTGGCACATATCTGAAATTCGGTGCCACCCTTCACGCACATCCATCGCAAGGCGTGGCAACCCAAACTGCGAGAACTCCCTCGGCCCTTTAATCGCAAGGTGTGGTAACCAAGCCCGTGCACCATACACGTCTTACCAATCGCCAGGTGTGGTAACCCCTCTTGTGATCAGTTGGTTTTGCTGATTGCGTTCGGCTTCGCATGAAGTTTCGATACTGCTTCGCAACAGCGCCAAGGCCTCATGACTTAGCTCTTCCATGGCCCATTCTCCGAGAGAGGGGGCCGGCGGCGGGGGGCGAAGCCCTTGCGGATAAATCATGATCAGAAAACCTGGATGCTGAAGTGCGCCTAGTACTCGGAAGATCCAGTCGCGGCTGATGGACGGGAAGGCTTGCCCGAAATCGAAGGCCGCCAACACAGGGAGCCTCCGGGCTGCGTCGTCCTCGATTGAGGTGCTGCGGCTCATGGTGTCTATTTCTAGCGCGTTCTCGCCCAAGTTCCGGGGCGGCGTGAGTCCTCTCTGACGCTGATGGACAGGTTGGGGAAGCCGACGAGTGAGGGCGCGACGGCGCACGTTATCTACTCCGAGCGGGCGAGTCTGGCTGGCGCGACGGAGAACCAGAACTTCGCCTCCATCCCCCTCGCCTTCGGCGAGTAACTGCTCCTCGAAATACATTATGCCCCATGCGGGGGCGACTGGCCCTCCAGCATCCAGAACGGCGTTTCCGATGAAACTTCAGCGTCCCCGGGTTTATTGTTCCAGGCATCAGGGGGGAACATGTCAGGTCCTGGCGGAGCGCTGGGGCCAATCCTCTGAGGACATCTCTGGACATCGTATAAAAATGGAGGAAGTAGATCGCCGAAGTGGGATCCGAAGCCGAAGCGTTCCAAATCGTGGCGACCAGCTGCGCCATCAGTCGCCTCGGATTCAAAAACTTGGCCCCAATGCATCGCCATCTGGCCAAGTACTTCAGGTGGGGGGGCGACGGCCTGAGGGCGGCTTTCAGAATCGGAAGTCGGACGGGCCCCTTGTCGGCGCAGCTTTCGGTCGAATGGGGCCCATGAGCGCCCTCTCTCTTGATGTTCCCGAATCCGTTGGCGAAGCTTGGCCTCGGACGGGCCCTGCTCGGTCACCTGAAGGCGACGGCTGGCAACCTCTTTCGCCGACTCGAGCAGTCGGCAGCGCTCCTGCTCGGCGGCGAGCTGGAAGGCCGGCAGATCCAGAAGCTCCGCTCGACCACCGTCTCCGCTGATCTGGACAAACTTCGCGCCCAGCGGGTGCGCGTGCAACGCTCTGCGCGCGAGCGGAAGATTTCGCTGCCAAATCGCTCTCGAAATCGCTCTCAGGATAATCCGCCTCGCAAGAGGATCGCGAGGTTAGTGGCGAATTATCGCGTCGCGGGTCAGTCTCGCAGCTCCTCGCGTCGCCGTCTTGTGGAGGTCGAGTCTGAAGGGGGGTGGGCGAGGAGGTGCTGGCCCACTTGCTGCAGGATCTTGCTCAGGCTGGCCTGGTGCTCTGGACTCTGGAAAATCTCGTTCGGGATCGCGCGCTCGCCAGGCTTGGGGCCTGCTCTGGGCGCCCATGCGAATGATGTACCCACGCGATCGGAGATGCGCGTGTCGCGCAGCGTCTCTGGCTGACCGTGCAACCGCCCCCCTGCGCACGATCGAGTCAGACGCCGGCCTGGAACGGAGACAAAGAGCCTGTCAATACTGCTCAGCATACCCCTGGCTGCGTTGAGATGGGTCGGCTCATTCAGTTCCATGTCCGTCATCTTCCCAACTATCGTATTCCAAAATCGACGCTGCGAGCGTCTCCAATCTTGATACTGGGCGAGGGTGCTGGGGGTGTCCATCTTCGCAGTGGTCGGGGGTGTTGAGGTAATATTGAAACCGCCCCCTACGATGACAAAGACCCTCTCAGGGCCCATTAGGGCGGCGCCGAGGTCCGAGGAGATAGCCCCTAAGAACGAGTCCGGTTCCCCAGAAGACAATCCACGCGTGTGAATGCTGTCCTGGCTGATTTTGGCTCCATTGCTAAACTCTAGCCGAACATTCAGAGCTCCCCCCTGCACGAGTTCAACGGACCCAATCCTCGGCTGGGCACAGCCCCCGCCGTCTGAAAATCAGGTACAAGCGCGATAACTCCACCAGGCAGGCGTGGATGATAAGGGGAAGGGAGTAGAACGCCCGGACAGGAAGGTGAAGACGATATAGCATATGATCTATCTGGGATGGTGTCCCATGAGAATCTTGAATCCCAATCAGAGCCCCCGCGCCGACCATCGTCCTCAGGAGGTTCACGGTCGACAAGAGCACGACGATTCCCAGACCCACATGAGAAATGACCGTGAGAAAGATGAGCGCGGCGCCAGGCCGTAAAGAGAATGCTAGGACCACTGCGCAGGCTCAGGCCCTGACACGATGTTGGCGATCGCGTCGGTGATCATGCATGTGTCGATACCCTCAGCGACGATGTTGACGGCCGACCACTCGACCGTCGGCGGGGCGTCCTTCGGGTTCGGCTCCGTACAAATGATGGGCTTCCACCCCGCCGAGACCACACCGTCGGTACGGTCGACGAAGAAACGTCTGTCTGGATATACTTCCTGGCATGCACGCCGGACCTGCTTGACCAGCTGCTCGCGACTGATCTGGCGCAGGCTTTTGTCAGAGTCCAGTAGGAGGTCTTGGCGCACACCTGCGGCATCATGAATCTGCAACTTCTACCAACTATTGTGCGGGCCTCGCATGGATCCCAGAACCTGCCGCACATTCCTTGCCGATTAGTTTGTGTTGCCGTGAATACGAACCTGAATCCTCGTCGACAGCTCATTGCCTTCGAACGTACATTCGGCCATTGTGAGGTTGTTGCGCACGATGATGTCACGCATGGAAGCCTTGGAGTTATTTGTGGGAAAGGGGGCGCGTGCACGAACCACCAGGATCGCACGATCGGGGTTCCTGTCGAAGACGGAGCGGTCTTCCACTGGAGGAGGAAGGTTTTTTTTTGTTGTTGTTTTTTTCAGAGCGTAGCACACCGACGAGCCGCTGCAACTCAGAGATCTGCTCGCCCATGGTGTCCAGGCGCTGGTCGGTCTTGGACATGTAGTCCGACAGATTGAATTCGACTGATGCCATCCGTCTTTCCACCTGCTGAGCCAAGTTCCCGCAAGACTTCTGGACTGTGGATGCCCGAGAGCCCACCGAGCTTGCCACGCTCGCCTGGACCTGGGTCTGCACCGCGCTAACGGAAGCCATGAGAGCGTCCTTCGTGGCATCGGTGTAGGCTTTGAGGTCGATATGTTCACCACCGTCTGCGGAGGCGTATCCATCATCCCCAGCACCAGCAGCACCATAACGAAACCGCTTGCGAGGGTCCTCCTGAAATGGGAAGGTCGGGGCGGCCTCCAGCTGCGCGGCCAGAGCGAGACGTCCAGCATCGGACTTCGACAGCTGACCATTCGCACTCATTGCTCGCTCTCTACTTGGTAGAAAGCTCCCGCAACAACAGCGCGTATCACACCACGCCTTGACGGCCGAAGTGTGGGTCGAGAGTTTTCCTGGAGTCGTTCGAGCCGGCCCCTCGGCTGCGAACAAGCTCAAGCCATGGGGCGATGCTTTGACCTTGAGCCAGAATTGCTTGAGCCATAAAATGGCTACGGGCTCCTCCTCCTCCTCCTCCTCCTCCTTCTCCTCCTCCTCCTTCTCCTCCTCCTCCTCCTCCTCCTCTTCGCCGCACCCGCTTTGCTTTCGGGGGTAACCAGGGACCGCCCGGGGCGATCCAGGTATCCCTGGAACGCTCTTGGCGAGGCGCAGGTGCTGGAGAGCACGCCGAGGGTGGAGCACCGCCGAGCTGGAAAGAACGCACATGAAAACCTCAAGCCTCGAGCGATCGTCCCGAGGCACCCCCAGAACGCTTTCGGCGAGGCGCAGCTGCTGGAAGGCATCCCGCGGCTGGACTACCAGCGAGAAGGAGCAAAAAGCATAGGAGAATCTCTGACCTCGATCGTTCCTCCATTCCTTTGCCGCTTTCGCGCCGCCCCCCCCTCCCCCCATCGACGCCGATGCCGCCGTTGTGGTCGGCCCCTCCTCCTCTTCCTCCTTTGCCTACGGCGCGGCCTCGGGGCCCAATCCATCAACTCCTCCTCAGCCTCCCCTTCCTCACCGCACCTCCCCCCCATCGTCGACGTCGACGTCGTCGTCGCCCTCCTCCTCTGCCTGCGGCGCGGCGGCGGAGCGGCCTCGGGGGGCCTCTCGCGCGTGGGGCCGCCGGTCCGCCACAGCAGGCCCTTCTCGAAGTCGAAAAGCAGGTCCGCCCCCAGGGAGCCCAGCGACAGGGACTCTCCTCGATCGAGGAGAAAGAGAGGAATCAGGAGGCAGGAAGAGGAAGGTGGAAGGTTGAGGGAGGGGGGGAGGAAAAGAAGAGAGGATGATGTTGAAACATTATTCGGACTAGGGCGAGGAACAAGGGGGAGAGGAGGGTCTGAAGGGGCCGCGGGAGAGGGGAGGATCAGGACGAGGAGTGTCTAAGTGTAACAATTTTCTAATTTTGTCTAAAGCCTCGTCCTCCGTGGGGGAAGTTCAGTAACAAAGCAAATCACCGATCGGGAAACTCAGTTCCCGACTTCGGGGAGAGTGCCCTCGAGAAGCGCGACAATACCTCCTTGCCAGCACTGGTAGGAGGCACGCGCAGTTTCTTCATTCTGGGTGCGGGGGGAGGTGACTGTGACAGGACCCCCGCACTTTTCACAAAACAACGCGCCTCGCAGCACCGCCAGCGCGTGCGACTGACCACCCAAGTCCGCCAGAGGATGATCCATCGCACCACCGCGCAGGCGGGCCGGACCAAAATCATCGGTAACGGACATATGAATGGGTGCGGTGGTGGTTTTGGTTTCGGTTCTGGTTTCGGCTCCGCTTCCGGTTTCGGTTCCCGTTTCGGTTCCGGTTATGGTTTTGGTTCCGGTTCCGGTTCCAATTTCGGCTTCGGTTCTGCATGGTTCCCGTTTCCTTCTTCTTCGGGGTCCTGAAGAAGACCCCCCAGGTCACGGTTCCAATTCCGGTTCTGGCTCTGGCTTCCTTCGCCTGGAAAGACCCCCCAGGCCATGGTTCCGGTTCTGATGTTGGTTATGGTTTTTCTTCTTCGTATTCTTCCAGCCTCGAACATGACCCCCCAGGTCACGGTTCTAGTTCAAGTTCCGGTTCCGGTTCCGGTTTCCTTCTTTTCAAAACTTCCCCAAAAACCCACGTCACGGTTCTGGTTCCGGTTTTGGTTCGGGTTTCTTTCTTCTCCCAGCCCCGAAGAAGACCCCCTGCCATGGTAACGGTTCTGGTTCTGGTTCCGGCTTTCTTCTTAAATCCCCATTCCACGCGTGCTGTTCGAGGATGGTGCACTTCCCGCATGGCGGCTTACGCCTGAACCCCATTCCACGCGTCCCCGCTCGAGGGCGGTGCACTTCCCGCATGTCAGCTGATGCCTGAACCTTTTTTTCATGTGCGTACACTCCAGGATTGTGCACTTCCCGCATTGCTGCTAGCTCATAGGCCCCTCATCCCACGCGCACCCGCTCGAGGATCGTGCACTTCCCGCATTCCCAGGTGATGCCCCATCGCGTTCCAGGGCCTCCCAAGCAACGATCCCTCATTAAAAAGGATGGATCAGCGTCCCGAGTTTTCACGGCGGACCGTGCAAGCAACCAAGGACACCAAGATGGCCCAAGATGCCTCGAAGACGGCCCAAGATGTACCCAAGGCGACCGAATATTGATTCAAGGCATGCCTCCGAGAGGGCCCAAAACGGAGGAGACACGAGAGGGCCTCCGACACGGTCAGGGAAGGCCAAACGCATTGATGTCCGATAGGTTTGTGAATGATGTTCATATTCTCGCTGTTTCGGGCTTCCGTCAGCTCAAGACTGCCCAAAATGACTCCACGATGGCCCAAGAAGCATACAAAACTGCCCCAAGGCGACCCAAGAGGACCTCCCGTAGGACCCAAGACGGCCTTAGAAGGCCCTTCGACGGCCCAAGACGGTGCGGCCAAGAGGGCCCAACGACTGCCAAAACGAGCCCCAAGCTGGCGCGTGGGGGCCCCAAGACGGCCCAAGAGGGCCCCACGGAACCTCCAAGACTGCTTCACAGTTTCAAGACAGCCCCAAGACGGCCCAAACGAGTTGCATCATCATCATCATCATCATCATCATCATCATCATCATCATCATCATCATCATCATCATCATCATCATCATCATCATCATCATCATCATCAGCATCATCATCATCGTCATCATCATCATCATCATCATCACGATCAGTATCATCATCAGCATCGTCATCATAGGTTTCGTCAACATCATCATCGCCATCACCATCGTCGGCATCATCAACATCAGCATCAGTATCGTCATGATGATCATCATCATCATCGTTCGCGTCATCAGCATCACCAACAGCAGCAACACCATCATCAGCACCATCATCGCCGTCGTAGTCGTTATCATCAGCATCGTCGTCGTGGTCGTCGTCATCACCGTCGTCGTCGGCATCATCAACGTCATCGCCATGATCACTATCGCCGTCGTCGTCAACTTCATCATCTTCAGCACCATTATAAGAATCATCACAATTATCACCATCCCATCATCATCACGACCATCATCATCGTCGTTGCCGTCGTCGTTGCCATCATCGGCATCATCATCAACATCAACACCATCAGGATCGTGATCACCATCACGGTCACCATCACTATCACCATCGTCATCATTAGCATCACCATCAATAGCATCACCATCGTCTCAACATTATCGTCATCATCATCCTCAGGTAGCTGGATCCTATGTTGTCAAATCCTACCATCTCCTTGCCTCCTCCTGCTGCTTGCCAGATATAGAGGGACATGCACGCCGCCTACTGATCCGCCAAGCAAGGCGAAATAGATTGATCACTGCCGCCAATCGAGACTGGGCGGGGTGAGGGCTGCAAGCGGCAAACAGCTGCGGAATTCAGAAGTCAATCGCCGGGCCATGGCCACTGTTGGGCCGACTCAGAAACTGCTGGACCAATGTGTTGGCCACAATCTGCGTTTTGCTCGAACGCTTACGCGAAGGCAGCTCGCTTGCTTGTCTAAATCTGCGCCTTCTTGGTCGAGCTCCTCTGCAGATGCCTGGGCAACCGAAACTGAATCAGCCAGGCTTCATGTCGAGCCCCCCGAGTCCCCCCCCCTCCGTATCAGTCTGCAGGTAAGGGTGTCGACGAGCCGCCACGGACCGAAGCCAGCTGCGCCCTCTACCAACCAGAAGCACAGCCACGTAGAGACTTTTGCGTTACACTGCTTCCTCTGACTCTCTGGGATAACCGTTAAACGCAGATAGGGGATACATGGTGAAGATGCTATGCCCCTGGACGTCTCGCTTCAGACAAAGGAGCTGCTGCAAGTCTGCGCATACGGCCGAACAAACAAATTTGCAAATTGCTGAAGCGCTGCAATCTTTTCTACCGTGTTTGAATGTTCGAGCTCAGCCCAGAGCGACAGCGCAAGAACGGGTGATGTCCTACGGTCTTCGCCTTCATGTACTTCCCGTAGCGTTCGAACGACTTGCCAGACTTCTTGTTCGCCGCATACTGGATCTCAGTGTTCTCTGTCCACGTCATGACCTGCAGGTAGGAGAGGACGAGCGGGAATGGGAGGAGGGATCCAAGACGAGAAAGGGTAGAGTAGGGGCTGCAGGCGCAGGCAAAGGATTACGAAGATCAGGGGGAGCATGAGGGGAAGAGGGAGAGGGACTCTGAGAGTGCATACAGTAGATCGGCCTGCGACTCAGCGCAGGCGACGAGTACTGCTCAAGGGTCGCGCAAAACAGTACCTGGCAGGATAGGAGGAGTGGCAAGGGCCTGAGGGTGCGCACTGAGTGCCCCGAAAGGTGGTCCTGGCTGCCCTCAGCCAGCCCAAAGGGTGGTCCCGCACCCCGGTACCCACCCCCTGGCGCGGTCCTGGCACCCACACCCTGGTGCGGGGAGCGCCCAGAGGGGTGGGTGGCGCCATAGGCGGCGCAAGAGGGACCGCCCCGGACGAGCCTGCGTGCCTGTCGAGGGCTCGAAATTGAATTTCGAGCCCTCAACTAAACTCGACAAAATTAGACAACATTCAGCGGAACGGGCATAATTTCGACGAAATTATGTCCATGCCCGCACCAAAACGCGGGCGATCGGGGCCTCGTTGTAGGACTCGTCCTTGTACGTGACCGGCATGGCTTCTCTCCCCCCCCACGATGCTGGCGGTCGGGTGGCGCGAGTCTGCCCAAGTTGTCGGAGCCAAAATGGCTGATGGCGGCAGCCCGTCGCCCAGAGGAGGAGGAGGAGGAGGAGGAGGAGGAGGAGGAGGAGGAGGAGCCAAATGCTTAGTGTTAATGTTTGTCCTCCTTCTCATCCTCCTTTCCTCCCTCCCTCTCCCATCCTTCTATCCCTGCTCTTTCTTGTCGTCGCCTTCCCTCTTACTTCTCCTTATCCCTCTCCATCCCTCCTTCCACTCGTCCCGCCCCTTTCCTTAGTGGTCGTCCTCCTCGACTAGGCTCATAAACAAGCAAGACCCTGACGACTCTTACAAGTCAGGCAGGTCAGCCAAGAGAAACCCGACCCAGGCAACATGTCGAAATCAATGCTTCGAAAGAGAGCAATACGGGATGCCCATGCCGTTGTTTGAGAATCCTGCAAAGACAACGCATATGTCAACCAGGCCCTTCGCTGCTATGGAGAGACATGAGCACATGCTTTTCTATAACATGCTATTCCATAACAAACAAGCGACTGACGAAGAACAGCGCAAGTAAAACCACATTCGCAGCGGAGCCGCCGCAACTGCAGCTCGAGCACGGCTTTCCTTGCGCAGCGGGAAGCGGCAGGGGAGGACGGCTTCTCACACAGCGTACAAGACACGCCCTTCCGCGTGGCACAGCGCAATGTGTAGCGAACGCTGTCGCCCACCAGCTAACACCTTTATTGCGGAGGCGAACGTTCGAATCCACACACAGCCGAAAGTATAATCAAGAAAACAATGATGTAAGACATCTGGGCCAGCTTTCTGGAAGTTTCTTCAAACAAGCCTGGGCCAACTTTTCTTGCTCACGCTGGAGGGACGAATGTGCTTGAGAAACTGGGTCAACTGTCCAACAAATTGGTTAAGAAACGTCGGCCCAGTTTTCCGGGAGGAGGTCTCTTAATCATAGGCTCGACCGCACACACGTAGTCTATCTCTGGAGACCTTGCGCGGTCATCACGGGCACGGTTGATGGATCGGAGGAGACGGGAGCGAGGGGAGATCTACTCAAGGCACCGCAGGGACGCCGTACCCGAGATCTGGCGTCGAGAGACCAGAGCTTTATCGCAGACGAGACCCGCCCAGGCAACTCTACAACAACGTGACATGCGGTCGACTCAGAGAGGGGGGGGGGGGGGGCGAACACGCCCGTCGAGAACTGGGGGTGCTCCTCCTCCCCCCCCCCAGGGAAGCCAGGGCCCGCAGACTCCAGAGCACCTCCCACGATGCCCAGGGGCCCTCGGAAGAGGAGGAGGCGGAAGAGGAGGACGAGCAACCTCTCACGATGCCCAGAGCCCTCGGAAGAAGAGGAGGAGGAAGAGGAGGACGGAGGAAGAGGAGGAGGAGGAAGAGGAGGACGAGGAAGAGGGGCCACCCGTCAGCACCCGAGAAGATCCAACACCGGGACGTCAGGAGGATCGCCAGGGGAGGGCCCCTCCCGCCGACGGCCCCCAGCGAGCCAGCCCTTGGAACCTCGTCGGCTGAGGCAGTGGCAGTCGGCGCTGTCTGGAAGAGGGAGAGAGAGAGAGAGAGAAAGAAAGAAAGAAAGATAGAGAGAGAGAGAGGAAGCGAGGGAGCGACGGAGAAGAAGAGATGGACGGACAGACCGACTGGCAGGCAGAAGGGGAGGCAGATGGGCAGGCAGGCAGGCAGACAGGCAGGAAGATCATCTATATGTGTATGTGTATGAATAGAGATATCTATAGAGAGAGAAAGAGAGAAAGAGAAAGAGAGAGAGAGACGAAGAAGGAGAAAGACTCGTGGACATCCTCCCCACCCTCGTCCCCCTCATCCTCCTCCTCGTCCTCCACCTCCAGGCCGTCCTCATCGACGTCGTCGTCGATCCGATGTTCCTTGTCGCCCTCCTCCTCTCTCTCTTTCGGCAGGCCGCGGGGGCCTCCTCCTCCTCCTCCTCCTCCTCGCTCTCGCCGTCGACCGCCCACGCCCGGCGGAGGCCGCACAGGGCGCCGACGTAGGCGACGACGGCGGCGACGACGACATCGAGCGCTGCCTACTGGGGTGTCGAGTCGCGAATCGCGCCCTGCACAAAAAAAGTGGCCCCAATGAGGGGAGGGCGGCGTGCTGCTACCAGGCAGGCGGGCCCGCCCGAAGCGACGAGGTTTCAGGGTACAAGGGGGCGAGAAACGAAAGGGGGGGCGAGACACGAGGGGGGTGGGCGAAGGAATGGGTGCACCTCTCGTGTACCTTCGGGGCCCCATGGGGGCCCACGCTCCCCCCCTTTCTCCTCCCTCTCCTCCTCCTCCTCGTCGTCGTCGTCCTCCTCCTCGTTCTCCTCCTCCTCCTCCTCCTCATCCTCCTCCTCCTCCATTCCTTTTCCTTATAAATAACTTCTCCCTGTCGCACCCCGGGGCGGGCCGGGCGTTTCGTTTGAGACTTCCTCACCCCGCATGACTCTGAATCTTAAAAAGGGCAACAGCTTCACGCATGGAGGGCGGGTCGTTTTCAAATTGTGGCTCTCGCCTTGGCGCGGCGCACATTCTTTCAAACACATGCAGCAAGTTTCACGTATTCCCGTCAACAACCGTTTTGAAACGAATTTGGACTTTGCGGGTGCAGTTGTTGATTCGCTGTGTTGATGTCCCAGGAATGTCGTTCTGGTGCGGTTGAGGATTGCTAAGACGAAACAGTCAGGTTGTTCCGTGGCGTTGGAATCCCGAAAACAAGGTTGGCATGGTTCAGGATCTTCAAACAGTTGTCTTCCAAAGAAGCAGTTCCTTCAATGGAACTGGACCGTTGTAGGGGCCTATGAAGAGGCAGCTAGGAAAGAGGGTTGATTCCAACATCGTTGATGACTTTGGGGTTTATAATGGTCCTCCTCCTCCTCCTCCTCCTCCTCCTCCTCCTGCTCTTCATCCTCCTCCTCCTCCTCCTCCTCCTCCTCCTCCTCGTCCTCCTCCTCCTCCTCCCCCACCTCCCCCTCCTCCTCCTCCTCCTCCTCCTCCTCCTCCTCCTCCTCCTCCTCCTCGTCATCCTCCTCGTCATCCTCCTCCTCCTCCTAAACATCGTCATCCTCCTCGTGCCCCTCCTCCTTTTCATCCTCCACCTCCTTCTCATCCCCATCCTCCTCCTCCCCCTCTTGCTCCTCGTCCCCTTCCTCCTCTTCCTCCTCCTCCTCCTCCTCCTTTTCCTCCTCCTCCGCCTCCTTCCGCCCCCCGCCCGCCCATCTGGGCGGCGGGGCGACGAAAAGCAAGGGGCCGTGCGCGAGGTGGCATGGCGAACCTCCGCCGCGGCTCACGCGGGCCGCCGGCGTGGCGCTCCGCTCGGAGAAGAGGGCGTTCACGCGCGACCTTGCGCGGGAAACTTGCGCGCCAACGTCGGCGCAGACGACCCCATTTTATTCCGTCGCGCATTAGCAGGATTAGCAAACATCGAACCTCTAAATCGGATGGACTCGAAGTGTGCATCGGATCGGGCTGCGTCGACGCGGAATCGAAATCCAATCAGATCGGCTGCGCCAGACGCGCAGCGACGTCATGCGCGCATCGGGGCGCATCGCCTCCCCCCGAAAGGCCTTTTGCTACCTGCGCCGGCCTGAATGCGCCCACTGGGTGGCGCCAGTGCCCTTCCAGCCTCCCGAAGGGCACCCTGGCACTTGCCACTTGCGCTCGTCCACGCGGGCGTGATGCAGGAAAAATAACGCAACGCTGCTGCGCTGCTGCGTCGGCGCGCGGCGCGCATTGGATGCCAGTAAGTGCCGCGCAACGAAATTCAAATCGCTGGCGGGTTTGTCAGTTCAGCCGAAACAAGCAGGACGGAAATGCAGGAAGGCCCGGGGCAACCCCGGCACCGCCGACAGGGCGACGGAAGAGGTAGTCGATACCTCCTCCGATGCACTTGAGCAGGAGGGACGCCGCGCCGCGTCGGCGGCCCCGAGGCCTTCTGCGTCTGGGGCTGGAGGCACTATGCTGGCATTCGCGAGGAGAGGGCTCGGCTCTGAGCCCCGCGGACGCGACGCCCTCAGCCTCTGAAGCTGAGGGCGCCCTTACCCTTGCCGACGATGTGCGAGTCGCACTCTTCGTGGGCGTCGTAGGTCCCCCTCTTGCTGGCGCCCTAGATTTTCGGCACGGCTCGGCAAGTCTTGGTGTCCGTCGGGGCCTGCGCCGGCCTGAATGCGCCCACTGGGTGGCGCCAGTGCCCTTCCGGCCTCCCGAAGGGCACCCTGGCACTTGCCACTTGCGCTCGTCCACGCGGGCGTGATGCAGGAAAAATAGCGCAACGCTGCCGCGCTGCTGCGTCGGCGCGCGGCGCGCATTGGATGCCAGTAAGTGCCGCGCAACGAAATTCAAATCGCTGGCGGGTTTGTCAGTTCAGCCGAAACAAGCAGGACGGAAATGCAGGAAGGCTCGGGGCAACCCCGGCACCGCCGACAGGGCGACGGAAGAGGTAGTCGATACCTCCTCCGATGCACTTGAGCAGGAGGGACGCCGCGCCGCGTCGGCGGCCCCGAGGCCTTCTGCGTCTGGGGCTGGAGGCACTATGCTGGCATTCGCGAGGAGAGGGCTCGGCTCTGAGCCCCGCGGACGCGACGCCCTCAGCCTCTGAAGCTGAGGGCGCCCTTACCCTTGCCGACGATGTGCGAGTCGCACTCTTCGTGGGCGTCGTAGGTCCCCCTCTTGCTCGCGCCCTAGATTTTCGGCACGGCTCGGCAAGTCTTGGTGTCAGTCGGGGCCTGCGCCTTCGTGAGGCGCGCCATGTTGACGGACCACTCGTACTCGGTAGACTCGCGCGCGCAGGAAAAGCCCGCCATGCACGCAGCGACCACGACCTTCTTAGTCTTGTCGACCTGCACCTCCCGCGTGGACTTCGAGGGTGGCTCGCACTCCGCCCCCTGGCCATTCTTCATCGGCTCCTCCGCCTGCTTGGACTTGGAGCCGTTTTTGGTGCCCCCCCTTGCGGAACCGGGTGTTCTCCAGGA